ATTTTTATTATTTTTATTATTATTATTATTATTATTGTGTGTGTGTGTGTGTGTGTGTGTGTGTGTGTGTGTGTGTGTGTGTGTGTCTGTAGGTCAGAGGTCAACCTCAGTTATTTCTTCAAACCTTCTCCACCTTGCTTTCCTGAGGCAAGGTCTCTCACTGGAACCTGGGACTCCTCAGTTCAGTCAGATTGACCTGCTAGCAATCTCAGGATCCTCCTGTTTGTAATTAAGTGTGTGTTCACAGGCCCGGCTTCTATATGTGGTTTCTAGGGACTGAACTCAGGTCCTTGTGCTTGTGTGGCAAGCATTTTACCAACCGAGTCATGGCCCAGATCAACCTTTCCAGTTTTAAAAATCTACTTAATAGGATGCAGTTTGACTGCTTTCCTATCAGTTACATCCCCCCTTTCTCCCAACCCCTCACAATGTCTTTTTGTTGTTGTTGTTCAAGAAGTTGTAGGGGATGAACACTTTTGATAGGGACATGGAAATAAAAGTGTTCACTCACTCAGTTTGTATGCAAAGATGCATGAGGGATTGCTGACCGCAGTCAACAGCAGCCAGTGGGATCAACGCCAGTACCATTGAAAACCAGGGACTCCAGAAGTAGGGCTGAAGCTTGTCATGAGTTCAAAACCACCTTCTGCCCTCAGATACTCTGCAGTCAATCTCCAGTGTGGACTCACCTCAGAACTGTTTCACAGCTGGGCTGCTCATCCTCATCTGTGACCCCTGCACTCAGGAAGCAGAGGCAGGAGGATCAGGGTTACACAAGACCCTATCTTTAAAAAAAATTAGAGAGTTTTCAAAATCCCACAGCATTTCTTTTTCTTTTCCAGCGATAAAAACAATCTATACCTGGCACATGCCAGGGAGGAGATACGACCTCTCAGTGCATCAGAGCCAGCTGGCACATGGTAGGGCAAGCAGCTGAGAGGCCTATGAGTCAAGGCGAGTTGCCTCTGTAGCTGAGTATCTGTGAATTATTTAGAGAAACAAATCAAGATCAGAGTACTCAGAACTGAATTCCAGTCCCCTTGGTGAAGATGCCACAGCCTGAGGACTCTTGCTTAGAAGGATGCATTTCTCTGTCATGGGGACTCTCAGTCTCACCTTCGTTTTGCCCTGTTGGTAGGACAGTGGTTTATTGTGTTCCTCTTTTCTTTTTGATAATTATAGGTTGGCTCAAAGGACCCATGGGTCCATCTTGAAAAAGTCCAAAGCTTGTAGATGTGAACTGTGCAGTCTCTGGCTGTCTGTGGCACCTCACAGTGTGTCTTAGTTGGATGAGCCCCTTTGAGGGTTGCTGTTTAAACTCTTGTCTATCACATAAAGCCAGGAGTGTCTGCCGCTATCTGAAGACTGCGATTCCTACTGGAACTTGGTGCAAGGCTCTGCCAAGATGGAGTGTCCAAGCAGCAAGTGTTGGACTGCATGTGCTGATGTCTGCTGGGTGTTGTAGCAGCAAGAACTGCGTAGACACAACCACCCAAGACGTTTCTCTCCATAGAGAAGGGAACACGTTAGAGAATTGGGGAGATGGTTTAACTTTGCAGGTTTCTTGGTTTTACCTTAGAGCATTATGAGATATAGTCATATGTAACATGTAACTATGAGGACTAGACTTTAACTCAGGGGTTCTCAATCAGTGGGTCTCAACCCCTTGGTGGTTGAAAGACCCTTTCCAAGGGGTCTACTTAGGCCATCAGGAAACATAAATATTTGCATTACAATTCATAACAGTAGCAAAATTATAATTAATGAAGTAGCAACAAAATACTTTTGTGGCTGGGGTCACCATAACATTAAAGGGTTGCAGCATTAGAAAGGCTGAGATCCACTGCTTTAACTCGTTGAGTTGTCACTGTAGGTTGTATTTTGAAATGCATCATTCATGGGCCCAGAGATATAGATTAGTTGATAGAAGGCTTGCCTGACATTCTTGAAGCCTGGGGTTTCATGCCAACACCTCATAAACCTGAGCCTGGTAGTGTGTGCTTGTACTCACAGCACTCAAGAGGTGGAGTCAGGAGGATTAGAAGTTCCAGGTCATCTGTGGCAACTTGGTGAGCTTGTGGCCAGCCTGCGCTACATAGACTGGGTCTCAAAACATAAATAAATAAATTAGGTCATTCACAGCTGTTCTTTGCTGATGAGTGTTGATGTATGATTTATTTGTTAGTTCAGTGGTTCTCAACCTTCCTAATGCTGCAACCCTTTAAAAATACTGTTCCTCATGTTATGATGACCCACAACCATAAAATTATGTTGTTGTTGCTTCATAACTGTAATTTTCTACTGTTACAAATCATAATGTAAATATCTGATATTCAGGATATTTGAAATGCAAACCCTGTGTGTGTGTGGGGGGGTCACGACCGATAGGTTGAGAAAAGCTGTGTTAGGTGCTCATAAAGACTAGAGGTGAAGATACAGCCATGATAACCTCGGGTGTGAAAGTGAGTAGTGCCTTTCCCTATCAGGAACGAACGGAGAAGGCACCAGCTTTGGGGATTGGTTTCCCTTAGGTTAATAATAGCCTGGGTAACCCCCAGCTCAGGTCATCTTGGGCGCAGTGAGCTTGCAGTGAAGAGCTCCGGGAGCAGAACAGGAAACCCATGTTCATCTCCTTTGGGACCTGACTTTGCAGGAGCTGAGGTCCCGGGAGGAGGAGCTGAGTCGAGCCGCTCTGCAGCAGAAATCCCAGGAATTGCTGCTCAGACGCCGGGAACAGCAGCTGGCAGAGCGTGAGATCGATGTGCTGGAGCGGGAGCTGAATGTCCTCATCTTCCAGCTGAGCCAGGAGGCGCCACACGTGAAGAAGAGAAAGGGGAGGTTCAGGAGAGGCCGGCTGAGGCTCAAAGATGGCCACCGCATCAGCCTGCCTTCAGGTTTGTGCCGTCAGGCGTGGGGAAGGTTTAGGAGGTTAAAATTCGAAGATGTGAATGAATGACTTTATGAATGAATGAGTGAATGTGCGGATGCTCACCAACCGTGGTCCTGACACACTGATGGAGGGAGTTTCCTGGCTGACATCTGAAATAGAAGATGGGCGTTATCCTTGCGCCTGAATTTTTGGATCTCATCATAGAGTGCTAGTGATGGGAAGATGGGGTGGTGGTTAGTGTCAATTGCCCAAGTGACATCATCTAGACTCACCTAAGAGACAAGCCACTGGGCAAGTCTGCGAAGAAGTTTTTATATTAATTGGGAAGACACACCCTAAATGTGGGTGACTCTATCATGTGGGCTGGGGTCCCGGACTGAATAAAGAGAATAAGGCAGCTGAAAATCAGAATCCATAGGCCCTCTTTTGTCACTGTTTGTCTTTTGTCACAAATGCTGTGTCCTAAGGGTATACTGCAGTAGTCAATGCACACGATTTCTTAAATCTGGCAGAGGGAAACGGCTAACAGAACTAGGATGACAATGGTCCAACGTTAGAAGAAAGTATGAAGTCTTTCCAGCTGACCCCCACTCTTCAATGACAGAGAGATGAAACAATACCCCTCATTCCTATGGGCATCCATTGTTCAGCTGATAACTTGAATTTAAAGAGGACATTTTTTTTTGTTTGTTTTTGTTTTTGTTTTTTGTTTTTTTTTTTTTTTTTTTTTTTTTGCTTTCTGGCACCTGGTATAAGATTTCGGTCAAAAATCTAAGCATCTAAAAAAAAAAAAAAAAAAACTAAGCATCTATGGGTGTAAAGACTTCAAATCACAGAGGAAGGATTTAACATGCAACAGCTCCTTCTGACCATAAGAAGGCGCCAAATGTTGTAATTCTGGCATGGGATTGACATGGGCAGTCGTTTGAAGGCTTCACCCTTACTGTGTGTTTCTCTGTGTGTACACAGACCCCCATACATACACACATTCTTACTTGTGCAATACCCAGAACAGGACATCTTCAGCGATGAAGCAATAACAATAACTTTGTCCTGTTTCCCCAAGAGAGGTTTTTGCTCCTGGCATTTTCAACTGGCAGAAAGTTCTTGGATCCCTGAGATTTAGAAAGACTCACTGAGGGGTGTAGCTCGCCCTTCTGGGCGATAACATGCCAAATTTCATCCATGTTTGCACTATCTGCCAATCCCCACACTGTACTTGGTGAAAATATGTAGTATCGATAGTGTTTTCTTCAGAATTTGTGGGAGAAAGCTTGGTAAGAGCAGAGGCTTTGACTCAGTGATGGGTTGAAACCCCTCTGCCTTGTGCTCCTTTTGAAGTTGTATTTTGAACATAAGTAAAGTCAAAGAGGTTCCAGGCTTCAGGGATTGGTACATTTCTGAAGCAGGGAATTTTAAGTTGCACCTAAGCCAGAGGGAACCAATGAAGACCAGCTGTTCTGTTCCTGTGTGTGTGTAAGACTGGGAGAGTAGACACACAGGAGGACAGCTGTTCGTGTGTGTGTGTATGTGTGTGTGTGTGTGTGTGTGTGTGTGTGTGTGTGTTTGTGTTTGTGTGTAAGAGTGGGAGAGTGGACACACGGGAGAGCAGCTGTGTGTGTGGGGCGGTGTGGTCTGGTGGTGTGTGTGTGTGTGTGTGTGTGTGTGTGTGTGTGTGTAAGAGTGGGAGAGTGGACACACAGGAGAGCAGCTGTGCGTGTGCGTGTGCGTGTGTGTGTGTGTGTGTGTGTGTGTGTGTAAGAGTGGGAGAGTAGACACATAGGAGGGCAGCTGTTCTTTTTTGTGTGTTTATGTGTGTGTAAGAGTGAGTGAGTGGACACACAGGAGGGCAGAGGTGAGTTTCTAAACTTTCAAAGCCCCAAGTGACATACTTCCTCTGGCAAGGCCATACTCCTGTCATGATGTAATCCTGTGTCTTATGGAAGAGACACTCACACCCTGGGTTCTAGATTGAGCCAACTTGGCTTGGATACTTATTCTACCACTTTCTAGCACTGTGTCCCAGGGCCTACAGAATCAATAGAAACAAATCCACAGTGCATGAAGTTTCTGTAGTAAAATGTCCTGACAGAAGTAGCATTGAGACTCACATTAGTAGATGGCCATCTATCATTGCAGGGAACTCAGGGCCGGAACTGGAACCAGCTGGCCATATCCACAGTCAAGAACAGAGAGAAATGAACACATGCCTCCTTCTGCCTAACTGTGAAGTGACTTGAGTCTTTGAGAAGAGGCACAGGGCCACGCTGAGAAACGGGCTCAGAAATTAGCCAATATGCCTGAAAGAGTTGCTACCTGATGGCATTGTTTATGAGTGTGCAAAAGACAGCGAGGAAAATACTGCAGATCCCTGAAAAGTCGGTTCTTCCTTTCTCAGATTTCCAGCACAAGATCACAGTGCAGGCCTCCCCAACCCTGGACAAGCGCCGGAGCTCAGACAGCCGGCTCTGCAGCCCTCCCAGCAGCCCCTTGATGCTCCCCCGCCTCCGAGCTATCCAGTGTGAGTGTTTGCCTGCAGTGCAGAGGCCTTTCTCTTCTTCAGTGTTATCCCTGCTGTGTGGTCACACTGAGGGGCGTCAGTGAGTGGGAGATGGTGAACAGAGCAGTGAAGATTTGGACATAAGTGTTGACCTTGGGGCCTAGTGTGGGGGTGCACTCCTATAATCCCAGGACTTAGGAGATGGAAGGAGGTAAATCAAGGAAGCCTCGGGTATCTAGTGAGTTCAAGGTCAGTCAGGGCTACAGGAGACTTCGTCTGAAGAAAAGGGAAAATGAAACAAAATAAAAGACCCAAAGAAGTTAGTCTTAGCTCTTAGGCCAGTTTCTCATGCTCTGGACTGCAAATATGACATTGTGTCAATGCAGTGGGTACCTAGAGCCAGGAATCCAGGTCATCTCAAAGACACTGCCACCTCAGACAGCATCCTTGTCCTCTGCTGAATGGCTGGGGATGTTGCTCGGTGGTACAACACTTGCTTAGGGACACAGGGACCAAGAAAAACACAGATTAAGGAATTTGAGCATTGCCTCCACACTTCAGACAATGTAAAGATCATTTTCCTGTTCATAAAGGTCCTGTTTCTAGAAGGCAAATGTCTGTCTTCATGGACTTCCTTCCATGTACACATGTGGCTAAAAACTTTCATTTTACCTTTATTGTAGACCAGGCTGGCCTTGAACTCACAGAGATCCATCTCTCTTTCTGCTTCCTTCGTGCTGGGATTACAGACATGCACTGCCATGCCCAATGCTAGTCACACAGTTTTAAATAGGAATGTATGATTTGTAATTTAAAAAAAACCCTCTCTGTATGTGTACAACATGTGTCCACATGTGTATTCAAGTGCCTGCACACGTGTGCCACGGAGCATATGTGGAGGATGGAGAATAGCCGTGGGTGTAGGTACTCAGCTATTGCCACCTTTGAGACAGGCTCCCACCGGTGACCTTCTGGGGATTCCACCATCTCTAAACTTTCAGGTCATTCCCTTTCTCTAGTCTTTTTTCCACTTTTTATTTTTTATGACTACAAAAAGCAGTTTTCCAAGCTGGGTGAATGAGTTGTTCTCACTGTTCTACCAGGCACCTGACTGGATTCTTGGACTTTTTAGTAAAATCATATGTAACAGTGGTTCTCCATTAGTGACTTCGGAGGAGAGCAATAAAACCTGGGGACGGAATGTGGTCTTCCGACAAGAAGACTTTGAAGATGTGAAAAGGAATTTCAAGAAAAAAGGCTGTACATGGGGACCAAGCTCCATTCAAGCGAAAGAAAGACCAGAGGGCCGAGAGCGGTACGTGGGTGTGAAGAGGGCACATGGCTCACATTGGGGTAGTAACACTATTGTGCTGGCAGTGCTGCTTGGCCTGGTGCTCAGCCTGCCTCTCAGGAAGCCATTAGATTGATGCAGAGACATCTGGATAGTAACTTAGTGCTCTGCAGTGTGTTGAACTGGCTTATGCAATGATAATTAGTTCAGTAAATAATCTGACATCTTTATGTATCATTTCATGATTTGTGTGTGTGTGTGGCGGGGGTGACAGGGGTGGGACCGGAGAGATTGCTCAGTCCTGAAGAAGACTCGAGTTTGATTCCCAGCACCAACTTGATGGTTCACAACCACCCCTAACTCCAGTTCCAGGGGACCCATCACCCTCTTCTGACTGCTGTGGGAACCAGAGATGCATGTGATTTGCATGCATACGTTTAGGCAAAGTACTCAAACATATAAGTAAATAAATGAATCTAAAATATATTTTAAAAATTGTATTTGTACTCTGTTAGGTCTTCAAAATTCAAAAGCACAAAGGTACTCTTTTTGCATCTCTAAAAATATTTCTTCTGGGCTGAGACACTCTGTGGGTAAAGTGCTATCTGGCAAGCTGAAGGACCCGAGTTCATCTCCAGTTCTCATGTAAAAGTTGGCAGGCGTGGCAGCTGCCTGTAATCTTAGACCCACAAGAGGAAGACTACAGATCTCTAGGGCAAACAGGCTTGTTATGCTAGCCAGAATGGGTGAGAGACCCTGCCTCGAGATAATAAATCCAGAGAGCAATTGAGGAAGACATACAACATCAACTTCTTCCCTTCATATGCAGGTGCACACAGTTGCAGCAGTACAAACATAAAACCCATATATGCACCACATATAAGCAACCATGCATGCACGCACATGCACGCGCATGCACGCGCGCGCGCGCACACACACACGCACACAGACACACACACACACACACACACACACACACACACACACACCACATATACATGCCAGAAAATATATTGAGTATCCTGCGGTTCCATTATGTGAACACAAATGTCTTTCTCTCCTAGGGTCAGGCCTCTCTCAGATGGCAACAGCCCTTGGTCGTCTCTTTTAATAAAAAGTCAGAAAACCATGCCATTGGCTTCATTGTTTGTGGACCAACCAGGTAACCATGTCTCAGGAAACTGGGGTGTTCTTAGATTTGGGGGCCATGAATCATCTCACATGGCCCTTAAGGTCATTGACAGGGTGACAGCAGGTCCTTTAAAGCTTTACTTAAGTCCAGAGGTTATTTATTTTGCATCTAGACTTCATGGCACTAAGGAAATGGGCTCCACGTGTTTGGGGGGGAGATGGAGCGCATAGCTCTGTGTCTTACCAGAAAAACCAATATACCACTTAACCATATAGACCAGGTGAGTTTAGCATAGGAGTTGGCTTGATTAAGGATGAGCTGGGCTATATTCAGTATAGATTGAGTTCAAGAGGTAAAGCCATTGAAAACCTTCAAGGATGGTTGGTAGTTAAAAGAGGTGGTCTTTCATACCCACGTGTTTACAACAACCTTTTCATACTGTGAGAAAATCAAAATGTTTCAGCAATTCTGGAAGTGTGTGCCTTGAGTGTGTTCTGGGTTCTGTGTTCACCATCATGTCCCCTCCTCTTGAGGGGCCCTTTTTAACAAGCAAGGGATTTGGTGAACGGTGATGGAAGGGGAAGTCAGCAGAGGAAAAGGGGCTGCATGAGCAGAGGTGCCCATGGGAAGTGCTGGCTTGTGCAAAGAGAAGCCAGTGCCCTGCTGACTGTCTAGAAGAGAATGGCTATCTTGATGAGAGTGGGCTTACGTGTTAGAGAACACCTCTCTGGGAAACAAGGCAGCTCTGTGGTGTCTTACCTTGGAGCCCAACCCATGTTGCCTCTTGCATACATGAGCGCTTCACCCTTCTCCTTAGCCAGTGCTCTTGGTGACCTCCATGGAGCGTCAACCTCTTTGGAGTTTCACTTCCTTGTCCCTCTATTGCACTAGCTCCAGCTTTGGGACAAGTCTGTCACAATGCAGTCTTCTGGCTGCACCGCAGGGCTTTCGATTTTGTGCCAGGTCAAGCAAGAACGTGGGTTATCTATGGTCTGCTAGTTGCCACTTGTTTGGGTGTTATGCTTGAGAACCCTTGAAGTGCTGTGTAGCAGTCTGGTGTGCAAAGTGAGCAGTGGACAAGGGCTGTGCACTTTAATGAAGCAATGAAATGTACACATTTTGTGCAGCCGTGTGTATGTTGTGTGTGTGTTTATATCTTGGTTCTTCTGTCTCCACACTGATTTCTGTCATCAGTGCTGATGAGAAACACTTTCCTGAAGGACCGGAAGCATCTGTGACTTCCACACAGCCTGTGGGTACCTGCATCCCAGGGCTCTGGACTCTTCCCACCAGAGCTTTCCCACTGAATGCATGCTTTGGTTTAAAATGTGGTGGTGGTGGTGTGTGTATTTGTATCTTCTGCTTCTGTCATATATCTTGATGCTTCTGTTTATATTTTGATGTTTCATGGATTTTAGAGTGCTTGTACACAGTTTGAATGGCAGGGTTTGCTATGCAATAGTTCTGCAATGTTTACATTTGAACCTTTGTTTAGGATCTTGTGAAGAGCTGAAACTTGTCCCTGACGGATTAGAACATAGAAAACCAAAGCAAATGAAGTTCCCTGGCCAGGCCTATGTTGGTCTACCTCTTTGCAAAGACAGCCAGAAAGAGCACCCAAGAGAGGCTGAGAGTCTCGAGGAGGGACCCTCTAAAGCCTCCCCAGTGAACAGTGTTGGTGCACCCACGCTGAGAAAGAAAACAGAGTCTGCATTGTGTGAGTGTGGGGTGCTGCTGGCATCACTGGCTTTGGGACAGGATGTCAGGAAACTACGTGGAGCCCAGGCTCCCCAAAAACCATCACCCAAGGAGGAAAAGAAGAGAGAGGACACTCTTCAGTGGGTCTCCGGGTGCCAAGCAAGTACTAGTCCACCTCTGAGACAGCCACCTGCAGGCAGGGTACCTAGTGATGACCCCTCTCTCCTGCCGCCAAGTGCCACGAGCCTTTTCTCAAAGTCTTCTCTCTCCACGAAGTGCTTGCTGCCTGCTGCTGAGGAGAAGCCTTCTTTCGGGAGCACAAGGATCTCTTGTGGTCCCATGATGCTCACTCCAGAACCCTGTTCTGCCACCCCAGAAAGCAACTGTGAACTCATCCCTGAACCAAGACTTAAGAATGACTATGGTGTGTTGAAAAGCATGTCACTTGCCCTCCTGGGGCAAACAGGGGAAAACCTGCCAGCCTGTGCCCCTGTAGGAGGCAAGGAATGCCATCACTCATGGATGGGATCCAAAGAAACTCCTTTCCAGCCTCAAAGTAGGTGGCAGCAGTCGGGTAACAGTTCAGATGGCATTGCAGGAAGTAGAGGAGTATGGATTGGACGGGGTTTCCTTTTAGTGGGATCTTGAGTGTTATCTTTCATTGTTGTAATTTTAATATCACTAGGATCTAGATTCTGAGAAGAGGCTTGATTGGGATCTAGCAACTTCAGATTATAAGATCATATAAGTACAAATTATGTGATGAATGACACATCAAACTCTGGGGACAAAGATGGGTCATAAGTCCAAATTCCAGCAAGTAGACCATGGTTCCAAACCACAGTCTTCTAGCTCTAGCCCTAAACCACTCTCTCTAGCACTAAACACTTAACTCTAACCCTAAATATTTAACCCTAACCCTAAGCACTCGACCATAACCTTCAACACTCATCCTAAATACCAACCTTTAACTTTAAACACCAATCCTAATTCTAATCCTAGCCACTAAACCCTGCCTCCAATCCTGAACTCCAAACCCTAATCCTAACCCTTGAACCCTAATGCTAACCAAAAGCTATCTTCAGCCTCTCTGAGATACTCCTTGGTCACATGCTGTGGTGGTGTTGGGACTAAAGTCCTTGTCATTTCTGTGTGATTGGTAGTTGGTATATAGCAAAGCTGCAGCCAGAGTGGCTTAACCACTAGACTCTATTTCCCCACTGTGCTGAAGGTGGAAGTTCAAGGCAAAGGCGTGGGCAGGGCTGGGTCTTCCTTAGGCCTCTCCCCTGGGCTTGCTTACACCCTCTCGCAGTGTCCTGATGTGGTGGTTCTTCTGGGTGTGTTTGTCTGGATCCTATAAGGCCCATAATCAGACTACATTGGGGCCTGCCCAAGTGAATTTATTTTGACTTAACCACCTGTAAGGATTCCCATTTCTAGGGCTGGGGAGATGGTTCAGTGAGTAAAAAGCTTGTTATACATACATTGCAGCCCTGAATTCAATTCCAGAATCCACATTAAAAGGCTAGGTGTGGTGGAGCAGACCTGTAATCCCAGCATTGATGGGGGAAACAGGCAGATGCCTGGGGCTTGCCAAGTCAGTGAATTCCAGATCATTGAGAGACCCTGTCTCTGAAAATAGGTGGATTTGTCTGTGGTTGACCGTGTGTGTGTGTGTGTGTGTGTGTGTGGTGTATGTGTGTGTGTGTGGTGGGGGGGCACATGCACAGGTCATGGTGATGTCACAGTTAACTATGTAGAGGTTTGTGCTCAGGTTTGCTGTCTGTGGCCTTGGTCACATCACTATAACATGTTTTTCTACTAATAGCTTTACATCACCTCTCCTGTGGTTAGAAGTATGGTAGAAATAAAGTGCACAGGTACTGCTGTGATTAGTTACATTAATGTCATACAAGTATTCTCTGAAGCTATGACTATGGAAAGCTATTTGAGCCGGGCATGGTGACTTATGTGTGACATCCTAGCTACAGGGAGGCTGGGTGAAATGGCTGGAGGAATTTCTTAGGTAAAATACTCTTTCTGTTCTAATGGCATATTTTCACTAAGGAAAGCATACCCCAGTGGCTGTGAGAGGTTTGTAATTATAGTGTTGGAACTCTAGGAAACCCCATCATCTAGTTGAATAGTTATCATCCTTCCCTTCACTCATTACTTCAGAGTCTTCTCATTGCGCTCTGTCTGTCTGTCTGACTGTCTTTCTTCACCCACAGGTGCCCCTGGAGACTCTGAGCTACCACACTCTTCCTCACCTGGTCCTCACAGTGAGCTGGCAAGCCAGGACTCTCCTGAGCAACCCCAAAGTGTTCTGGCCAATCGTCAGGCATGCCCCGTCCTGCCACAAAGCCCACACACTGCTTCATTGAGGACAACATCCCCACCTACCTGGGCCTGTGACATGGAACATGCAGTACCAGCCCTTGCCTGTCTCCTCAGTGCCCAGGAGAGAAGCAGGTTCCAGGCACCTTCTTTGTTGGATGCCAATGTGGAAGGTCAGAGCAAGGACTGTGCCGTGCCCTTGTGTAGAGTGAAGAGCGTGACGTGCCAACCGTCCATCTATGCCTTGGAGAAAGACTTTCTGACCTGAGTGCCTTTGCTTTCCCAGTGCTAACATTTGAGGTGGACACATGGAGGCACTGTGTGCCTTTGTGCTGTGTTTCCAACTGTGGCCCATGATGCTAGTGGGGGATGCTGACTCTGAGGTAAACCAGTGACTGCTGTTGGCTGTCCATATTATGTCCACTGAATGTTAGTTACCCAGTGACTTGAAATATACGGAAGTTCAGCCAGCTGAGGCAGGATCAGTTCTCATGTATGTTCTGCGCATGAACACATGGCAAAACTGCAATGACCAACTAACAATCTTTGCTTCCTTCCTTCATCATTTTTCTTGTCCTTTTGGCTTTTTGTTTGTTTTTGTACAACAGAAAGCTAAGAAATAGCTATTCATGTCTTGGCAATAAAAATGTGATGTTAGAAAGTGAAGATATTTATTTATAGAGTGGGTAAAAGGTCCTATTGATTGGAGTTAATTCAGAGTCCTGTTTAAAATACCCAGAGAAAGCAGTAACCTTGTAATGTGGGAGTCTGTCCAGTTGACTCCCGTTTTACTGAATGTAACTTATGAAAGTTTTATTGAGGCCTGGAGAGATGGCTCAACAGTAAAGCATGCATATAGCTCTTTTGGAGGACCCAAGTTCAGTCCCTAGCACCCATGTCAGATGGCTCACAACTGCCTGTGATTTCAGTTCTAGGATATCCAATGCCCTCTCCTGACTTCCACGGCACCTGAACTCACATGCACATGCTGCCACACAGACAAGACACACACATGCACATAATTAAAAGTCAAAATATTTTTAAAGTTTTATTGAATATGACTATATTGCTATTTTTGTGTCATGAGGCCAAAATACCTGAGAACAACTTAAAGGGGAGGAATCATTTGTTTTGCTCGTGGTTTCAAAGGGTTCAGTCCAACCTTGAGGAGGACCTGGTCGGGTGGCTTACATCATGGTGAACAGGAAACAGAGAAAGGGGACTATGGGAAGAGACCAGGGCAAGATGTAGTCAAGGGCACACCCTCATTGAATTTCGTTCCCCTGTTTCTATAACCTCTCTAAATAGCACCACTACTTGGGGACCAAATGTGAGCATATGGTGGATGTTTCAGAGTCAGACCTTAGCAGTAATCGCCAAGTGTCATCTGAGATCAGGCATTAATATTTGACCATCATCACATTTTGTGCCCTGCACAAGGCTGCTCTGTAGGTTTCCCTGTAGAAATGCCTCTTCCTTCACTAGTCAAGGTGGGAAATTTCTTCATGCTATAGTAGAGTCTTTAAAAATTAAATTACCCATGACTAGCTGGCTGTGTTTGAAGAGCCTATGTCCTGTGGACATAAATGTTGTGTGATTTTATTTTTCTTTGAGCCTGCAGTTTTCCCAGCACTAACAACACTGACAGCACAGGAGACAGCAGGACTGGGGTGGGGGTGGGGTCCGCCCTGAGCCATTTCATATTTTATTTAACTCTGAGTAAACTCAGGCCTCTGTGGGGGGTGAGCAGGCATGGCAGGAAGACACAGACAACTTCTGGAAGCACATGTAAAATGTGTCTCTGGCTAGCAGGTGGGGTTAGAATGACTATGGGTCATTTTCATAATTTCACAAATCAGAGTGCCGCATTGTTGAGATGGGGTGTCTCCTCGGGAGCTTGGTGACTTCACCTGGGTCTTGTGACTACTCTGATCCCTTCTGTCACCAGAACCTACTTATTTTTGAGACAGGCAGTAGCTATTTAAAGTGTGACACCCAGTAGGAAACTAAATTATCAATAACCCTTGGTGTTTTTTTTTTTTTTTTAAAGTTGTATGTTGGCTTATCAAATAATGGCGGAGATTTAAAGGGCAATAAATTGGGTGTGTGGCATCTGAGGCATATACAGGTTTGTCTGCAGGTGACCTGCAGGGAAGATCTCATTGCCATCTCTAAGCAGAAGGCTTTGGTAGCTTGAAGCAAAATCTCAGGCTTTCACCAGACTCACTGTGTTGTTTTCTGCTGTCCGATTTTGCTTCTTTTCCGTTGTTATGAAATGCTGTAATAGGGATGTGGTTTGCTTATCATTTGTCACATTGGACAGGCCAGTTGGCTTCTTCCTTTCAATCAATCAATTGAAGGGAAGCTGAAAGTAAAAGAAATGCCCCAATACCCATTCGTGGAGAGAAAATATAGAAATATTATGTTTATCTTTGCTCCTGTTGCAGCATCCCATGGAGCATGTGTTTGTGATGGAGAGGGTAGAATTGGACATGCTAGATGTGTTTGTCTATCCACTATGTCCTCTCTCACTCTGTGATCCAGCCTCCTTTCTCTTCATTTTGCTCAACTCTGATGAACTTAGAAATGAAGCTGTGCTAAAACGATAATTTCAATATAAGGACTCAGTCTGACTCACTCTTGCTGAGGGTTGCCTTCACTGAGATCCCAACACACCTCTGATTTTCTGTGCTTGCTACACACCTAGCAGAACCTGGCTGTTCATTTTCTATAGACCTTAGAGCACTGAAAGATCATTTAATCTGGTTCCTGTTAATCCATATTGAGCTTTACCCTCCCACTGCAGAGACTAACAGTCAGGGCCTGGTACATTGTATTCAGAGGCCTGTGGCTGATAAAAATGTTTACATATGTTGTCTGTTTTTTAATAAACCTTTTATAGCTTGTCTGTTTGCTTCATGGCTTTGATCTCCTCCTAAGTGGTTACAGTGGTTTGCTTTGTATTCAGTGAGGAAAACATGAAGGAGGTGAGTGCTTGCTGTGTATACGTGGAGACCTGAGTTCCACACCCAAGACCCTTGCAAAACAGCAAGTCAGGTGGTGTGCACATGTGGCCCCACTAGGAGGTGGAGAGAGGCCAATCACTGTAGCTTGGTGGCCAGCTAGTCTAGCAAGCTCCAGGCCAATGAGAAACCTTGTGTCAAAAAGCAAGGGGGTGGCTCCTGAGGAATAACACTTAAGGTTCACTTCTGGTTTACACACACACACACACACACACACACCTATGCACACACACACACACACACACACACACTTCTCAAATTTAAAAAGAAAGTAACAGCTACACCCAGGGTGCCTCCACATGGATGGCCGTCTTGATTCTAATACTCCATAGCCAACAACTTGGACTTCTAATCACTCTTGGCCAGTTAATATTTTGTTAATGTGACACAAGCTGGTGTCATCTGGGAAGAGGAACCTCAGTTCAGAGGAAGGAGACGATGCCTCCACCATACTTCCTGTAGGCAAATTGTGGGGCATTTTCTTGATTAACGATTGATGTGGGAGGACCTAGCCCAGTGTAGTCAGGTGGCCCTGGGTGTTATAAGATTAATCAGGCCGAGCAAGCCCCAGAGACCCACTAAGCAGCACTCCTCCATGACCTCTGCTTCAGTTCCTGCCTCCAGGTTCCTGCTTGAGTCCCTGCCCCGACTTCCCTCCATGACAGGCTATGACTGGGATGTGATCCAAACAAATCCTTCCCTCTCCCGAGTTGCTTTTGATCATGGTGTTTTATTACAGTAATACACAGTAACTAGTCCACTTCTGAACGGGGACACACTTTTATTTTCACCCAGCCCCAAATTGCTTAGATAAAATGCCAACTTTAGATCTTCCCCTAAAGCCATCCACCCATCTTCTCAGAAAAAAACAAAACAAAAAACAAAAAAACAAAACAAAAACAAACAAACAAACAAAACCCACCTGGAATGAGAGCCAGAGACCTACAGTACTGAAAACAAAGCATAGAGACATCATTGTTCCAGAACTCCCTGTAGGGTCACTGAGTGGACACTTTCCACCTTACTGATAAAGAAGCCAGCCAAGCCTTAGGGAGAGCAGGTAAATTGCTGCATTTCAATCCAGCCTGCTTCTCAGCCTCCAGCTGGTATGTCCAAACCATGGGGGAGGAGGAGTCTTCTGATTATTAGTTGGTTTTCAGTAAATGTTACTGTTAACTAGATGATGGGGCAGACTTAGTAGACTTTCTATAAGAGGCCTTACCCTCTCTGTGGAGCAGATGGGAGGAGGGGGGTGTGGGGGGACTGGGAGAAAAGGAGGGAGGGAGAACTGGGATTGGAATGTAAAAAATAAATTAATAAAAAGAGGGTAAAACAAACAAAAAAAAACAAAAAGAAATGTTACTGTTAATAAGCTCATCCAAGGACAGTTCAAAGAAAGCAATGTGAACCCTTCTTGGAGCCTGGAGGCCTCTGAATGTGGCCTTGGGAACCTGGCAGTAGGTTTGGCTTTAAATTAGAGTATGCATTTTTAGAGAAAATTGTCCATAGAGAGGAGGCCATTGGATAGACACTAAATAGAAAAGTTTCTAGGAAATTGGCTTATGATATAGCTGAGTCTGCCAAGTCTGAGTTCTGCTGGGCAGGCTGCAGACCCAGGGAAGAATGGAGGTTACAGCTCATGTTGGAAGGTCAAGGTGGAGTAGTTTGTATCATTAGAGGCTTCTCTCGTTGGCTTGCAGATAGTTCTCCCCCCCACCCCCACCCCTGTATGTGTAGGGTCATGTGAATGTATGCACATGTGTGGAGGCCAAAGCTCAATGTTAAGTCTTTCTGGTCTCTCTCTCTACTTTATTTGTTTGTTTGTTTGTTTGTTTGTTTGTTTTTGAACCAGAGCCTCTTTCACTGAACTTGAGACTCTCTGATTCAGCTGACTTGGCTGACCAGCGAGCCCCAGAGATCCTCTCTCTACTTCTCCAGCACTGACCAGGCAGGCACTGCTGTGCCCAGCTTTATGTGATGTGGGGGCTAGTAATTGAAGTCAGGACCCTGTGCCTACAGAGCAAGCATTTGTTGGATGAGCCTAGATGGGCTTTCTTCATTCTGTGCCCTGACATGGTTGTTATTCTATGTGTGTCCATGTCCTAATCACATCTTACAAAATACTATTAAAACTGAGTTGGACCCACCTCAGAGGTCTCTATTTGTCTCTGTGAGCACACACATCCAGCAGTGGACACTTGTCGCAGTGCTGGAGGCTAAGCTCAGCACGTGAGTGAGGCCAGCCCACAGCAGTGTCCTGTTGGCAACATGAGAGTTATGTGCAAGGTAGATCAGAAGGAAATGTCTCCAGCTCTTTCAGCAAGGGGAGGAGAATGGGACAGAATGGAAATGGATACTTACAGGTGGTGCGAGGGGAAAGGATGGCCCTGGCTGCCCTGGCCAGACTCGGCCACCCTTCCTCAATTCACCTATTATAGAGACAAATTAATGGAAAGCAGGGAAGGGGACTTAGTCACTGTGGCCACATTGAGAAGAGGAGCAAATAAAGAAGAGGTAAAGTGACCCCCAAGCCCGTCTTCAGGACACTGACAAGAGGTTCAGGCTTTTAAAAATCCAACAGATGTGTATAGCTAAGGAGTCCTGCTCAAAATGTTGTCTTACTTATTATTGCCCCACCAATGTCTGGGCTCCAGGATCTCCTGCAAGGCGGTCTGACAAATTACTAGAACTGTGTGAAAGCTCTTTAGGGGTGATGAACTTTCCCACTCTGGCTGGTGCCTCCCTGGCTTGAGACCCCTGGGTGGAAACTTAATTTTCTAAGGGTCTATAGTTTCAATAGTCAGACAGCTAAAGGGAGGGACAGTGTATCACTTCAGAGTATGTCATCTTCCTCCAGGGCAGTTCCAGAAGGAAGGTTCATAAGCAGAAAAGACCCAGACAATAGGAAAGGGTCACATTGAGCTTCTTAGATACTTCATCAGGAGCAAGGGCAAGATGAAAAGCCACTGTCTGAGAATCCCATCAGTCCCTGGAGGCGCGCGCGCGCACACACACACACACACACACACACACACACACACACACACACACTTCCAATCCCAACCTGAACTGTTTCCTTTTAAAGTAGAAGGAAGCAGCCCCATTGAGTTCCACTTAACACCCAAATGCCAAGGGCTGATGCCAACCCAGAACATGGAACTGTGACCCGACTCCCCTTCTTCATCCTCCTGAAATGTAGAATGGCATCCTTGATCCTAAAACCCAAGCGTGTGGCTATTCAATACTTTGTCACTGTGAACAATTGAAGCATCCCAAGGGAGAGGTTCTTGTTTGTCCCAATGAGGGATGTGGTCCTTTTGGATAAAGGAGGATATAGGACCACTGTGGCTCAACTTGTGCCAGAGCAAGCTTGAAGATTCTGGGCATCAGGGCAGTAGAAGGAAGCAGAGTCAAGATGAAAAGACTCAACACCTGCCTCCAGTGGCCTACATCTGCCAGCTGTGTCCATGTCTGGAAGGCTCCATGATCTCCCAAAACAGCACCAATAGCTGGGACCCATGTGCTCAATCACATGAACAGAAAGGGTGGGTGAACAGAAAGGAAACAGTGCTGGCCTTAGCCACCGTTGGCTTACACACACTGAGTGTTTGGTCAGGTCCCCATACTATTCAAGCTCTTGATGATCTGAGGCCTCTGACAAACATGTTGTCCCAGCTCACCACAATTTGCCCAGTAGCAGGAGACAGTAAGCAGATACGACAGAGACTCTGGCTGTTGGGGAGCACCTGGGTGTGCTTCATTGACACGGAGCTCAGCATCCGGGTCTCCCTCTGGAATAAGCAGCGCTGTGTGGAATGCAAGGGTGATGCGAGCCCATGGACATGGTAGTGTTGGTTTCTACTCAATCAGACTCAACTTTGCAAATGTGGAAATCGCTTTTGTGTTGGGCTTTCTGCTTCCTGTCCACGAGGTGGCACTAAATACACGTGATAAAGGACTTGTGTGGAGAAAAGTCACAATCAACCTTAGAAGCAAAACTACAGGAGTTGGGAAGGAGCAGCACGTGTGCAGGGATTTCTGCTCTCACATGCAGAGCTCAGCTGTGCATCTGCAGCAAACAGATACAAGTGGAGGTGTACAACAGCAGGTGAGGTCAGGTCTCCAGAGTTTGTGCTCAGTTTAGGAAGAAGTAACCCAAAGTGTCTCAAGTAGAACAAGCTACCCCTCCTCAGACACTTGCTCAAAATGCCCCTATCCACATCAGGGTTCTCTAGAGGAACAGAAACAATGGGGTGAGTTGGGGGGGCGCATAGAGGAAAAGGGGGTAGGGGAAAGAGAGAGAGTTTATGTGTTGGTATGTACACATGTGTGAGGTCCAAGGACAACCTCAGTGTTTGTTTGTCTGGAGACATCATCTTGGTTTTTGCAACAGGGCTCTCATTGGCCTGGAACTCAAGCAGGGCTAGCCTGGCTGACCAGCAAACCCCAGAACTGCACTTGTCTCCGCCTCTCTGGGATTACAAGCTTGCATCACCAGGCTTGGGTTTTGAAGTGTAGATTCTGGGGAATGAATTCAGGTCCCTGTGTGTCCAAGGCAAGCACTTTACCAACTGATCTATGCCCCCACCCTGAGGTACACAGTTTTTGAAGCTGCACTTAAACTCCTTTGTTGCATGACTTAAATATACACAGGACAAGAGGCTTATGGATATGTTCCAAGCACCTGGTCAATAAGGACCAGGCCTAGAACTCTCTGACCCCTTCTCTCTCAGGACCACCTGTGGTTCTGCAGCCCAGCTTTTAACCCCTTCATTTCCAAATCCCTTCTTATCCTTGAAGATGTATTTTTCTCTCTCTTGTTTCTCTTCCGTTTTGACAATTTATGTATATAATATCAAAATTGGAACAAATT